GCTCCACATGTGGCACTCATGAAAGTGATCACAATAATTGGAACATATCCGTCATCATCTGTGAAACTTATTTTCCAAAACGGTCAACCAACTTGTGATGGTGTCCGTAAAATTTACGGTGGGATGATTTCAACTTCACCAGTTGTAACTAGTTGTCAATAGCTTCCTTGTTAGCAGCAACCCTCTATCAAGGAAATTTTGATAGGAAATGCGAGCTCTTGAATATTGTATCAACTGGGAAATGTATACTCCACATACAAGTGCTGCTGGAGTGTTGCTAAGATTGCACCAGTTTTTTGTGGGGTTCGTGTTGCTCAGTCTTTAGTTTTCTATGTTGCGTTTTGTGTACTATTGTTTGTCTGTTTGTCTGTTTGTCTGTTTGTCTGTTTGTCTTTTTCTTTTTTAGCCATGGCGTTGTCAGTTTATTTTCGACTTATGAGTTTGAATGTCCCTTTGGTATCTTTCGCCTTTCTTTTGCTGCATAGAAATAAAAAGTTCACAATCGGGAATCTGTAATCATCTCTTTTTGTTCTTAACCGACCCTCATTAGCAATTTCTTGATGTAATTCAAAATATCAGGCAGGCTTAAATGTATATATTGTGTCCTTTATTTCAAGTTCGAGGGGATAGATGCGTTCAACATTGTCACAAAACTTTGAATGATGTAGTGAGAGGGCATCATCTTTAAAGCGAAACGTAAAGTTAAAGGATAATGCTAGCTTCTTTTCATTCTTCATAAGAAACTCCTATTTGAAGTCAGACTAACAGACTAATAAATATAAAAGATCAAGTCGGCAAGAAGAGGAGCGCAATTGGTTTCCGTTAGAATTTCGATTGTGTTTTGAAAAAGAAGTTCTCCAAACGTAACAAATAATGTTGTCAATCAAGAAATCAAGCATCTTGATAAAGTCAGTTTGAAAGAATTTTTTGTTTGAATCAGAATTACTTTTTTTACAAAGTACGATTTATCCCTCCCTAAGACAAGATACTTGTATCTACGTTGGCCATTCTTTATAATGAGACAAACCTATTCTTTCAGTTTGTCTTTTAGTTTGGAATAGATAATTTTAATGCTGTTGCAAGAGGAAAAAGAGACTTTGATTGTATGTACTCTAACAGATCTTTCGAATTTTTAAGACGTGAAAGAGTTAACGGTGTAATTTATATTTTTGGAAATGTGGGCTATTGAATAACGAGATAAGAAGAATGGAAAATCACAAAATTAAACATAGGTTACAATGCTAGTATTCGGAAAGATTGAAGCAAACATCAAGTTCGGCAATCGGCGAAAATAAGGAACAAACACCTCAGACACAAATGAAAATATCTTCTGCATGGTACATGTCAAATCTATATAACTTATCTTTTTTAAGCTTATCTCAAATTTGTATAATACATTCAATTTAAAGCTCATGGCTCTCATTTAAGTGTAGTTGTCTTCCTAAATATTTTGCTAAACATTGGAAAGGATATTCACGAATATTGGTGACTACGTCCCGTGTAGAATAGCATGATATACGAGCAATCAAAGACATAATTTGCCGTTTTTTTGCATTCTTTTTGCAGATGTACAAATGTAGCTTTTTTTTTAGCATTCTTGATTATTTTAGTTTGAGGTTTATGAATTGAATAATTATTCATATAATTTTGAGGATCTCCCGAAATATTTCCGTTGTATTTACTTCTCAACAAACTTTGATGCAAGTATGAAGAACAAATCTTTTATTCATGTTGTCAACATGTTAGTTCAACAACAGATTATTAATGGTACCTTAATACTATAATAATCTCATCAGTTACAACAGGAAACGAAATAAAAAGAAAAAAAAGAAAGAAATACCATCAGTCTAAACAAACGAAAGATTGATAACTACAATATACATAACAATAAATATTATCACCTAGCAGTATTGATTTCTTAAATAACAACGCATATCATCGTCTAAGCAATCGAATGTGTCACGTATGTGAAAAGAGACTGGTAATAAACTTGAAATTACAACCATTCCAATATGAAATATTTATTATTGATTTCAGCTTCATTAAGGAATAGGTTGTAATTCCAATTAATCTACAATTTATTTTAAGCAGTGGGTCGTTAAACTCACTTTGCAATTCCCAACATGAATTTTTACGACAAAAGCTTCTAATAAGTTTCCTGAATACAAGTTGTATTGATGGGTTTTAGTATGTTAGCAATTCAAAATTTACAAATTCAAAAGTAAGGCAAATTGTTACATTCGATTGATCCTGTAATTCGATATTTGCCTCCTTTCACACTGTAACCTTATTTATCATTAACAAAAAAAGTCTGTATTTATGCCGTATTTCTTTAATAGTAGTTATCATAGGTCACAGGTGAACATAGTTAATTTGTATATATGTTAGAGTCAAATCTATGTCCGGCCTCAAATCTGTGTCCTGTGACGTAATGATACCCAAATCTGTTGCCCTTTTTCAAGTCTCAAATATATGTCCTGTCGTCAGACTTGTGTCCCATGACGTCATGACACTCAAATCTGCTGCTCTTTGTTTATTCAAATCCGTGTTCTGTGTATGAAGTAGTATTTCAGTAATGTGACGTGACAACACAATAGATAACAAACTGTACAAATCAGTTGGAAAGGACTCGACTCATCAGATTGACACAAAACACACAATTCAACAAAACATAAAGGTAAAAGATATAAATCTATTTTACCGTTTGGCCTTCAAGAATTCTTTGCAACTAATTTGACGAACTAATAAATGGGATTTTGACTAATATGTCTATATTAAGAGAAAAATAAAGTTTACACTGTTTAACAATTTCTTTAATTCAAACATAATTTAAAAAAAAAAACTTGACAATAAGGCTAACTAATAACTGAAAGATAAAAAGTATAGTTTTTTTTTTTCAAAAACTTTTTTATATGCAAGAAATTGTAAGCGCATTGGTAAAGGAGGTGAACTGGGTGTAACTGATTCCTACTTTCCTTCACCTACTCCAACTTCCCTCCTCCTTACTATCAAACGATAATAGGTCAAAGATAATGGCAACAGTAGTATACCGCTGTTCAATAGTCATAAATCGATTAAGCGAAAACAAAACTTTTCTATCATATCAATATTTGTTACTCCCACTCTTTTCTCATTTCGCCCCTTCTCTCCCCTGGATTCCCTCCCCAATTCCAGGTTCCCTTATCCCTGTCTAACCCCTCAATATGCATAGTTTTGCACACGTCAAAGTTCCAATGGGATTAGCTGATGTCGATTTAATTCGAAAATGAAATCTTTGACAACAAAAATGTTTCCTCAAGACGTTTTGACGTACTGAATACAACTGTACTGAATAGATATCAAAATCTATTTATCAGCAATCAAAATACAAACAAGCATTTTTCTGAAACTGAAATTTTGATTTTTGATTGAAAACATGTTTGTTATGTTTGGTGGACGTACTTTTAACAAACAACCGGCAATCACATGGGAACAATCTATGCTCCTCTTCTTGCCGACTTGTGACTTAATCCATGTAAGGCGGAGTTCATACAAGAGTTTCTAAGGACGAAGATAAGCTAGAATTATATTTTAACGATTTATCGTTCCGCTGAATAAACAATGTCACTAATTATTCAAAGTTTGGTGACTATGTTAAACGCATCTTTCCAATTGAATTTTTTATGAAAGAGACATCATACACAGTTAAGTCTGCCTCGTATCTTTACTTTTAGAAATTGAAAGTAAGAGTAAGAGTCGGTTGAGAACTGAAATTTACGACAAAATAGATGATTCCAGCTTTCACCTCTTGAAAGTTCCACTTCTTAGAAGCAACATTCGAGACGCGCCGACAGATGATAAGATAATCAAGAGGCATTATTTTCTATCATAATTTTCTTTCTAGAGGGTTGCTTCTTACAAGAAAGTTATTTAAACAAGGGTTTCTAGTTCAAAAGCCGAAGTCACTCCTTCGAGAATGTTCGGACGCAATTATGATTTGATTGATCGTTATGGAATATCTTTGATATTGATATCACCGAATTTGTAGTTTCCATAATCGACTGATGCCATATGTAGAACAAGATCAGCTTATCCATCCAATGTACCGGAGATAACCTCTGTTTTTGCGAGGTTCCTTTTGCTCAGTCGTTTTTGAGGTTTGCCTTGTCTTGGCGGTTTTTCTTCGACTTAGGTATCGTCTGCATTTTTTTTAACTTCTGAGACTCATTCATTGCGGGAAAAATATACATACATACCAAAATTTTTATGTGTTTTTTTTAATAGAAGATAAAATATGTCCATTCAAACTATGTGTCCACACAATGCACAATAAACATTTAAAGAAAAAGATGAAGGAATTGTATTTTATGAAGTAGCTGTTTTTTAGATTAAACCTTTAAAATCTTAATCTTTGATCGTGAAACAAGATGGGTCATCTTTAATAATAGTATGCCTTAACCCCTTACGGAACATTAATCCTAGTTAGTTTTTGCTAGATTTTATCGCAGAAAATAATAATATGTTCATGCTCAAGTCGGAAACTGTTTAGAAATCTCAAGTAAGAGAAGTGGTGAAACGCCAATGAAACACCAAAAACTAAAGAAATCAAAGTTAAACAAATGGCTTTCGAAACGCTGAACAGAAGTGTCTTTACAATATGTCAAACCAAGAAATTTGAAAATAAATTTTACTGCGTATCTGATGAAGGTATTTCCAGAAAGAAACACAGGTTTTGAACGTGAATATCGTATTATTTTTTGTTCAAAACGCTTTGATATTTCGGAAAAAAGAACAAATAAAAGTTCACAGCTTTGCTGCATATTCGAATCCTTTATCATTGTTCTTTGTGAAGATGTTTCTTAATCCCAGTCGCCAAGGTTTGCGGCACTCGTCTAAAACTTATTAGTTCTTTCTATTTCCTTATTATACTGAAAATCCAACATTTGTAGTAGACATATATCATATGCAAGGAAAAACTCATTTTAACCGAAGAGTAAAAAAACAGTATAGAAGGTACTTACCAGTATTTTCCAATAGCTGCTGTAAAATCCTATACTTCCTTTGACGATTTTATTCTCTGAACAATTATTTTCCGAAGCGTTGATATCATACCCGATTCGCTGATAAGCTTTAATACTTTTTTCAATTTTTTAAGGAAAACATATAAATCCTTAGAACATTAAGTTTTAATAACAGCTAATCCGTTAACAATAGTACATTATTATATGCTTCTTTTCAGATTGTTTTATCTAGACTCGGAGCCAATCAAATTGCGACATAAAACAAGGAGACGGCGATGATTGAAATTGACTGTATGCAGACTGATTCAGATTATAGGTGTAGTTTTAATAATGTTTCATCGGAATAATCACACGGAAACAGAGAGATTTTATGTGACTGTTTTTGTCCACTTGAAATTCTAAGTATTCTTACTGATTCAAACGCTGATACACAAAACACCGAATTATCTTCTTGTAACAGGAACAAAATGTTAAATCTAATTGATATTTAGTTTTAAAAATGTAAAAACCGTATAATTATAGCATTTAGATAATGGAAGTCATCACGAAATCATTTTTTATTAATCATTTTTATTATTTTGTTGATGAAGTTTAAATTTTTTATGAATTATACGGCTTGAAGCGTAACAGTGTTGTATTTACTTCTAATCCGTTAAACGTAATGCTACACTGGATATTTTTGAAAAAAACATTGATTGAATTTTAGTAGTGTATTCGATATAACTTGTATATTCATAATTGTTTTTTCGTTTTGTTTTCTTTCCGACAGTGCATGTAGTTGATTTCCACCAGAGTGACACGAATACTAATAAATCCCTATGATTGGTGGATGGCAATTTATTCATGTCTTACTTTACCTTAATGTTGAACCTATTGATAACATCAGTAAGTTAGAGGGAAATGATAGTTAAACCCGGTTAAGCACGAATTTTATTTAATAAAAGCAAAAGTAAATAGGAAAACATCCCCTTTTCATCTTTCTTTTTCTAATTTCGAAGATTTGGGTTTGTGTAAAGGTCAACTGAATTTATAAAAGTAACCTCGGCTCCTTTGTCATTTTACTGCTAACGACTTGGAAGATTTAAATGGGAAATATTGAAACAATTACTAATTGTAACAACAAAAACTTGTTACAGGTACAGTAAAAAATATATACCTAAAGTTCTAAATAAGTAATAGTGTTTATAGACCAACAGTTGTGATAAATACATTTACAGACAAATGAGTTGTACAATTTCAGTTGCAAAGTCTATAGACCGAAAGGAAGTAATAGATACAGTTACAAAGCGTATAGACTAAAGGATTGCAATTATGTAAGTAATAATGGGTAAAGATCCAGAGGATTTTAATGCAATACAACGTTTTATATTTTTCTATTTTCAAACTATTTTTCACGTGCATGCGTGACGAGAACAAGTGTTGTCCAAACAAATCATATATTATTTTTATCGCATCAAATATACTTGCGTTGAAGGCCTTTCAGTTCACAATGGTTATACTACAATAATTTTGTTAATTTTTTTTAAGCAAAGATCAAACATTGTCTATCATTTTGTCATGCATGGGCCTTTTAAAGCTCACTTGTGTGGCATTTACCTATCTCTGATTGTAAATGTTACCTTCGAGCATGTTTCCACTGTATGGACTTCATTAACATGGTTGTGCTCCTTACACAAAAACTGCTCTCAAAAATTTTAGAAAGATCGGCTGAAAGAGACACTAAATAAGTTTTACGGTCACCATCACAAATTGGTTGATGGATACGATGTGTTTCTGTCTAAACTCAAAAGTGATATGTTTTCCTTGTATAAAATATTAAGACACCAGATTAGTCGTACGATCTGTATCGATTTTACGGATTCTCGATTGTGATATTTTGACTGAGTGTTGGTTCTCGTGGAGAACGATGCATCCATAGTAGGATATGCTTACCCTGTCGACCCAACATGCTCAATTTGGTGTTCATACGACTCCCCCAGTTTTTTTTGGTACTTTAAGACCCGTTGCCGTTCTCTGCTCTCTGATTGATAGCTGTTTCATTTACATCATACTACATCATACTACACCTCCTTATTCTTATCTCAAAAGGTTATGTTCATTGTTGATTTTATAAAAAAAAAAAAAGGAGAAGATGTGGTATGATTGCCAATGAGACAACTATCCACCAAAGTTCAAATGAAGTGGATGTAAGCAATTATAGGCAATCATACTACCTTCAACAATGAGAAAAACCCACACCGTATAGTCGGCTATAAAAGGCCCCGACATGAAAAATATGAAACAATTTAATTGAGAAAACTAACGGCCTAATTTATAACAAAACAATTAACGAAAAACAAATATTACAGACATGAACCAACGACAACCACTGAACTACAGGCTCCTGACTTGGAACAGGCACATGAAGAATGTGGCGGGTTAAACATGTTTGTGAGCGCTCAAACCCTCCCCTAACCTGGGATAGTGGTGTAACATCACAACATAAAAACGACCAATAAAAACCAATTGAAAAAGGTTTAACTTATCAGGTACATAACAAAGCAGAAAAACATCAAACAAAAACACAGACTGGACGTGGCATGGTATTTATCTATCCCTCGTCCCTCACAACAAAAAAGACACTAAGTTCAGATCTGAGAGAGCTCGCAGTTACTTACAGCTAGTTCAAAGCCAATAACAACTGATAAAAAAAATCATGCAACTCAGACCAAAATATAATTCAGTACACATCCAACATCCAATGGATTTAGTGTAAAAACGTCATTAACAATCAAAGAAAAACACGACCTTGTGCAATGCCAAAATATAGGTGTCGACAGATTGTAGTATTTTGAAAGTACATATGTGTAAAACAATAATATTTAGTATGGTGTTAATTTACTGATAACAAAATCAATATTCATACCAATAAAAACAATATTCAAAATTTAATTACAGTGTTGAATTGGTAACCTTTTAGAATAAGATTATTTAAAGGATTGATAAGTTTATCCGGATCGTATCTAAATTTCAAGGCTCGGTTAAAAACATCACCGTAAAATTTAGGATGTGCTATTCCGTTTGAAATAAGTATGTTTACAGGTACAACCAAACTTGCAAACACAATCTTTGTATCTATGGAAGAATTTAGTAAAGGTTTTAAGTAATTTGTGGTAACGAAATCCCTAACTTACTAATTTACTAGTAATACATATATTACACTCATTGACATCCAAAACGTCACTACAGACACGAGCATAGCGAACGAGTTGGGATATATAAACCTAAGTTTTTGTGTTAAGTTTCTTGTGTAAAACATAAAATGTGTAAATCTAAGAAAGACACGTATTGCTGTAAATATTTTATTTATTTAAGGTTAGTTCCTTTGGGTAAATTTCAACAGTATATTTAGAGAATTCTTGATTATTTAACGAAAAACATATCATCAAGATAACGGCTAGTGTTCCTTGCATAAGTATACGAAAGAATTTTTGAAAATCATGATATTTAACTACCTTATGTAAATTTATAACCATATGCTCTATTTCTAATAAGACTATTTCACAGATTTTTTTAAAACTATGAATTTTCAGCTACAGTATTTTGTACAACACAACAGAATTTATGAAAAATGTAAAAAGGTTTAAAATTAAACCGATTTACAAATTTTTGCGTACCAAATCATCTAGCCTGGTACCTTTGATGATTTAATTTTTTTGATTGGTCCTAAAGAATTTGTATAAAGAATGGGAACTCTGTTTATGTGCTTATTAACTGTAATTGCCCAGATGTGTTACATGTGCACTTTCTGTGGATGCTTGAAAGTTTTTCATTTTTTCTGTGAGCAAACTAATACCTTGTCCCTAATAGCTAGGATAATATGAATCGCTATTAAATCATGTGTTTTTGCAATGCATGATCAGAATTCTATGTAAATGAGTTTAAAATGATTTCAAATTCAAATTCTTTATCAAATAAAGAAAAAACTTTACACTATAATCCTTGAAAAACCTTTGGTTAGTGAATTTGAGTGAGTTGTGTTTGTCTTTCAAGTATCTTGTGTTTGTAGAACATCATGTTAACGATTGATTCTGGTTAAAATATGATCTACAAATGGTTGACAAAATCATTTTAGAGATATTAATATAAAAATAAGGAGATGTGGTATGATTGCCAATGGGACAATTACCCACCGGAATTACAAACGATGTGGCTGTAAGCAATTACAGGCAACTGTACGGCCTTAAACATTGAGAAAATCCTGAACCATATAGTCGACTATAAAAGGCACGGCATGACAAATGTGAAATAATTGAAACTAGAAAACTAACGGAATAATAAACAAATATTACATACTAGTATATGAACCAACCACAACCACTGAACTACATGCTCCTGACTTGGGAAAAGCACATTTAATAACGTGGCAGGGATAAACATGTTTGTAAACGCTCAATCATTCCGCTAAGTTGATACAGTGATGTTACAGCTTAATAATGAACAATCTATAAAAATCAGATGCAATTTGCTTACTAGAACTTCAAAAGATCTTTACGAGCACAAAGACACCTAACATAAAAACTACAGACACAAGGTACCGAAGTAGTATTCGCAGTTACTGAAAGGAAGTTGGAAGCCAATTACAACTAATAAATAAATCGTGTTCTCACAGACTAAAGGATACATATGAATATGTGCATTCGAACATTCTGAAAATAAAAAGAAATCTAGATTTAAAACTATAGCAGTCGAGAGAATAAAGAAATAACAATTTTTTGCCAAAATGAACTTATTATTTCGTAAAAATTTAAAATGATCTAACTTTCATCCTCTAAATATTTTTTTGATGTTTTAAATACATATCTTGCTTTTCGTGGTCCTTTTGATTTGGTTGACAGTTTTGACTTTTCCACTCTTTATACTACACTTCCAAACAACCTTATCAAACAAAAGTTGTCCTTTTCGTTTGATAAATCTGATTGCCAATTCATTTTTGCCACTCATATACAGCCCTTTTCTCTAATGAGAAAGGTAAATATGCTAGATACTTATCTTACTCCGTGAGATGCAAAATTTGCCACCCCGTGCGACACATTACATTTTGATGAAAAAAACATTTGAAAACCAAGAAACATTGATTGGGAAGCAAGCATTAGGTCTGATTCTAGGATATTAAGTCATTTTTATATACAAAGCAATGAAATAGGTCGACAAAAAATACTTTTTATCCTGAAACTTACATTTGAAGTCTCAGAATCGGCAACATGGGAAACTGAGAAAACAGAGTACCGTGAACGTCTCCTTCTGCTTGCTTGGAATACATTATTTGGTGCTAACAGTTCTCAATAGAAGAAAATTTGACTCTTTTACTTACCTTTATCGTTTTTCTTCGCTTCGAAACAGCCACCTCG